AGAGTTTCTCTGTGTTATGGCTCTGGCTGTCCTGGAACTCACTCTGTAGACCAGGCTGGTCTCGAACTCATAGAGATCGGCCTGCCTCTGCCTCCCGAGAGCTGGGATTAAAGGTGCGCCACCACCACTGAGCTTCAGCTCTGAGTCTTATTGCCACCTGGCAGACACATGAATGCTACACAGTGTTCACCCACTCCCTGAGTGGGGAGTGACTGCACCATCAGTAGTTGCCTGAACTACCTCAGAATGTCCTCCTAGCTACCCAGCTAGCTACCCCTTAGTCCCACCCACTGGTATCAGTCTGCTTCTCCTGACATGAAGGTGCCACAGATTGGGTGGCTTAAACAAATGGCATTTGTTTTCTCATAGTCCTGAGATCAAAGTCTGCCTGATTCCAGTGAGGACTCCCTTTGTGGCTTATAGACAGCACTTTCTCTGAGTCTCCACAAGCTTTCACTGGGTGTGAATATTCTGCAGTATCTCTCTTCCTAAAGAAACACTAATCTTATCTGATCCGGGCCCTACCCTTATGATCTCATTTAACTGTAATTACTTCCTTACAAGCCCTGTCTTCAATCACAGTCACACTGGAGGCCTAGGACTTCAACCGATGAGCTAGGGGAGAGGGACACATTCGGTCTATGACATCATTCTACTCTCTTAGATGTCCCACATATACCTACATATATATACATATACATATACATATACATATACATATACATATACATATAAAACACATAACAGACCACTCTTTGTTCTCTTGTCTCCCTACTTCAGCTCCTGCATTGGCCTTCTTCCTCATTGCCCTTCCCACCCCTCCCCCTGTAGAATTATCTTTCCAAGTAAACAACAGATCACTGGCTATCTATTAAGCATTTCTCCTAATATCATATCATCTCTACATTCTCCCCAACAACCCAGCAAAGTGATAGTAAGCCAAGGATGGCTCAGAGAGGCTCAGTGAAGGCCTAGTGTTACTCGGGGTCAGATCTGAACCCAAACTGAGCTCTGAAATGCATGTTCTTTCCGTCAGTGCAGTCCAAGCACCTGAAAGGGTTCAAGACCCAGATACCCAGGACAATTAGTGATGGGCAGATGAATTTGTATATAATGTAACCTCAGCTTCTCCTTCAATAGTATTTATGGCAAAGCTGATTTATTTTCTGATTCCATCAAGAAACCCAGGACCTCTGAGTTGCTACCTCAGATAAGTAAATACTTTTAAAACTCAAACTGAAAATCTGTATTTTTCTGTTAAGGAAGAGTCCTTATATGTGACTTCAATTATGCATTAACAAATTTACTTGTACTTTTAAGGGAAGAAATTTTACCAGCATGAAATAACAAATGAACTACTACTTCATCTTAATTTCCTGCTAGCTGATGATCTAGCTTCCATTCGCCGAAGCAGTGGTACTGACTCAATTCACCAGAAGGTCAAATTGAACCAACCAGGTGAACCACTCAGTTCCCCACAGAGTCCTTTAGACACTGCTGAGATCTGAAGGGGTATTCCTCCAGCATCATGCTAGCAGTTGCTCTGGGCACTTCTGCACACTCAGCACTCACAGTCTCAAACAAATACACACACAGGCAGCCTGAGTGTGCTCGCCTTTCCCCTTGCCTGGGTGTTGAAGGCATTATTTCTGCAGACATGAAATCAGAGTTATCTTGGTTTCAAAAAAGTACAGACAGGGTTGGAGAGGTACTCTGCCTGAGCTGCTGGTGGTTCAGGGGAACAGTCCATTCTACTCCAGTTGGTTCTGTTATCCAGGAGAGGCAGAGGCATCCTGACTACACTTGGAGCATTCAGGGACTGTAGTGTCACTTGGAGCTACACCTCCATCACGGGTCACCCCAGGTGCTGGTCTGTGGTCTAAGGGCTTGTGGGCTCCTGGCCACCTGGTGGACAGGCAGACAGGCGTGTGTCTAGACCACTGCTGGCTGCTCAGACACTGCTTTGCTGTGCTGGGTAAATGGCCCACTTTCCATGCCCGCCCCACCAGCCTGCCCTGCCCCACTCCCGCTGCCTATTTAAGCTAGAGGCCCTGACTCCAGCCAGACACAGCCAGTTTCCAGAACCAGGAGAGTAATGCAGCTGCTCCGTTCACCCAGGGATGAAAGGTCCTTCTGTTTCACCATTTCCAACTGATGCCATTTCCAACCGGTGTGTACCAAATGATGTCAGTGAGGGGGGTTGTGGCAAGAACTGATTCCGCCGCCGCTACCTGGGGTTATATGGAGATGTGTAGTTGGCAGAGGGAGGCTCAGATTGGATTTTCCCCATTTCTGTTACCTGACTTGATATGACCCTATGTTCAAAGAGGAAGCAAGACTGTAGTTTGTGAAGGGATAAAAGAGAACATATTTCAAAACAAGGTCTGGCTCGGAATATCATTTATCATATTTTTTTTCTTTGAAAAGGGGGCCTAGAATGTCAAGGTTACCAAGATTCCATTTCCTTTCAGGAACTCTCCCTAGAGCCAGTTCCTGTCCTTTAGTTCTACTTGGAAAATACACGCTGGGAATTTGGGGAGCTGGGGAGCTATGCAGTTGGTGGGGGCAGTTTGGTAAACTGTAGGAGGTCAGAGACTGCTTGGCTGACATCTTACTGAGGACTGGAGTGAGCGCCTCCCACTCTGGCTGTCTTGAGTTCCAGAGACCATTGTTGTGGTCACCACTGTGATTTGCTCATCTCCTTTCAGGTCCTGACTGCCTTGATGTCCCCTCTCCAGCAGGAAGGACTGCACAAAGGGCAGTGGAGAGCAAGAGTCACACAGGCTCAAGAGGGTGGGGTGGGGTGGGGCCTGCCTCCTTAAAGTTCACTTCCAGGGGCTAGTCTGTATTCTTGAATCTCCCACCTATCGAGAGTAAGGAGGTGGGATTCCAAGGATAAGAATTAGGATTCCCCCCACCCCATCTCCAGGAGGCCAGGTCAGCAAGATAACCACTCAACTTCCACTGGACTGGAATCCCAAGGTTTGGGGGTGGGGCAGGATCTTCTCTCTGAGAGAAAAGGCCAAGGTACCACATGGAACTAGGGCCTCTGGGTAATCCAGAGTCACCTTGAATAGAACCTAGACCTATGGGCCGCCTTCTACCCACCCTGATCTGAGAGCACCAAGTACTGATGCTCCTTTGGTGCTAGCCATGGTGAGCCAAGATCCTGCACTATCCCCCAGTGTTCCAGGGGAGGGATGGGGGAGGACCGCTAGACTAGAACCAGGCTTTCCCTGGAGTCGATGTCTCAACCTGAGGGAGCCAAGCTATGAGAAATGACACTCGCACCAGTGCTTCCAAGAGATGTACTTGGTTATGGGATAAAGATGAATTCAGCCTCAGATTTCAGATTCATTCACTGACAGAGTATGGTCTTGGGGACAGGGGGTGTCTCTAAGGAGTGTGGTAGGTAGCCTTACTCAGGATGCGCGGATGATACAAGGGCTTAAGACAATGCAGGACAGTGGAGTTGGAGAAGGTGGAGGGCAAGAGGAGAGTCTCAGGCTGTGTTGGGTTGGGGCTGAGCTTGATAGACCAGGGTCAAGAGGCAAGTGGCGACAGCCAAGGATTGGCCGGTGATTGGGGGCGTGGCCCTCACACGAGGCTAGAGGCGGAGCTAGAGGGCAGGGGCGGGACCTGCCAATTTCAACTTCTCTAGGGCGTCAGGCCAGGATCCCTGGGCTGTGGAAGCTGGAGGGATACAGGGAGTCTGTCGCATCATGTCTAAAGGCCTCCACTCACACGAGTACCCTCCCAACTCTCCCCTCCGACGAGACCGTGGGGTTCATGAAATGTCCCCGCTCAGCCTTCCTTCCGCTGTTCTGCCCATCTTTCCTTCTTAACTGCTACCAATATCTCTCAGGTTCTTCCTCGCAACTGCTTCCTTCCTGAACTCCAGCCAAAGTGGCCACCAACTGTCTCTCCCGATCGGATTCGGCCTCCGCGGACCTTCCCTCCACCCCACCCCACCCCCCAATCTGTAAGAGGCAGAGATTACACAAAGCTACCAGAGAGCACTCTGATTGTTCTGGCATCACCTACAAGATCAGATCCGGGTCCACAACAGGGCTTGGAATTTGCCTGTTTGCTGCGCCCCTTTCAACCTGCACACGGAGGGCCTGCCTGGGTGCAGCAGTCCACGTGGAATGGTCATCCATCTCCCGCGGAGCCCTTCCCACCTGTCAATCTTCACTTTCTGTTGCATAAACCCCGCCCTCATCCCCTCTGGCTTCACTTCTGCTAGGATAGCCAGACCTCAAACTCCGGTCCTGGAGACAGGGAGGGTGTGGCAGCGCCTCCAAGGGTGGTGGCGGCGCACCGAGGTCTTTGTACCCAGCTCACCTGTGTGGCTGTCTTGTTCCAGTCACTACTGTGAATGGCTCATCTCCGTTCAGGTCCTGATTGCCCCTCTCTTCTCCAGAGGCAAGGACACAAGGCCCAAAAGGCCCCTCCTTAGGTAAGACAGACTTCGGGAACTACAGGAAGTGGACTTCAGGCTTTGCCTCATGGGCTACTTGTTCTGCTTTGTATTGTTGCTTGCTTTCTTTAGTTTTGGGTTTTTAGATGCAGTCTCGGTATGTAGCCCAGGCTGACCTGGGATTTACAGGCATCATGCTTAGCAATGGGTTGTGTGTTAGTATTTTTATATAAAGAGGTGCTAAATGAAATCATTTAAGAAAGATTCTCTAAAGAAGTTTGAAATTGGTGGCTCTGGGGTAAGAAATCTCTGTGGGCTTGCCCTCCTGTGGAAGGGAGAGGGAGCATGAGGCGGGAGTGGCTGACTCCCCAGCTGTGGAGAAGTGTGAAGAAGAAGAGTATTTCAGGGCAGAGTAACAAGTATCCCGAGCAGCGGACTAATGAACCAGATTCACACTGCTCACTAAACTATAAAAAACGAATGTTTTTCACTCTAAAACCCAGAAATGGTAAGAGTATTGCGACATGATCATTCTCAAATAAGTGGTGAACTGATACAGCACTGGTAGAAAGCTGTTTGGCAATATTTATCAGAAATATTTAGCTTTAAAGTTCACCCATGCTCTTGATCGCACCAGGGAAAGCATTCAAACTCCGGAACATTCAGAATCCAGGGGTAAAAGCAGACATAGGAACACAAAGTGACCCGCTATGGTCACTAACCCCAAGGCCACTGTAAGAACCCTTCCAATCCTGGCAGAACAAATGTTTTCTGGGCTGCCAGGGAGGTCACCAGGCCATGAGCAAGGAGACTTAGAGTCCAAGGTAGGGGTGACTGTATGAGAAAATGAAAGTGGGAATGGTGAGGCCAGGCCCCCCGAAAGGAGAAGATCATTGCAGGCTACACCAGGGCAGCAGGTGATGGATATAACCTTTAAGAGACTAAAAAAAAGCAGTGAGGACAAGACAGGCAGGGCAGGAATGTGTTCCTCTTCCCCAGGACAGGGCCTGGTGCTGGGTGGTTTTGAATATGTTTGCTTATCAATTATACTTAGTCTTTGGAAGAAAAGTAGAGAGAAAAGCGAAACTGGAGTCACATGAGCCAACTGCCACTTCTCAGGATCTGCCATTTATCTCTCTGAATCACGGTCTCCTCGTTGTTCACGGGGGTCAACTGTACCCATTTGGGGTGCCTGTGAAGTATTAAGTGCACCCTTAGCAATAAGTACATATTTCCTGAAGGAGCTTGACAACTGCTCACATGGCCCCAAAGGCAGATCCATATTTCTGCTTTTCTGTGCTCATTTCAGTCTTCCCATGTCTTTGCCATGCCCTGGTACTTGGCTGTGTCCTGTCTCAACACACAGAGAGAAAGAAAGCAAAGGGGAAGAAGTCTGAGGCCCTGGGTGGCTGCAGGTGGACTCGGGGAGCCGGCTTCCTGAAGCCGTCCTGGCTGCGGTTCAAGGTCCTTAGTGCACAAGGCTGCCACCTGCCAGTCGGGTAGCCGGCTTCCTGTTGCCTTTCTAAGCTGGGGACAGACGGTAGAATTAAACAGCGAGGGTCTGTGGGCAGTGAGGTGACATCGACCTCCTTCCTCGGAGCCAGGAAACAGTGCCCTCCTTCTCTGGGAGGAATGGGAGAATGCTCCTGAGAGACAACCCACCAGGCCCCACTGAAAGTATGGGATGTGCTGACATAGTTGAGCCTCCAGTCGGGGAAATAAAAGAGAAGAAGCAGGAAGAAAGGAGTCAGGGGAGCGAAGGAGAGACTCACCAAGAGCTTTGGTTTGTTTCATTCCTGTCTCCCTGCTCGTGGCCCCTGGTCCTGTGTCGTCATCCTTCTTGTCCTCTTGCTCTCAAGTCTGCTCCTTTCCAGAGCCATTTGGGCAAATCTATGTGACAGGAGCTGGTCACCTTTCTGGTGTCTGGTGTACGGACTGCAAAGTTGCCAAGACATATGTGTTTATTTTAGGCAGGCCAAAGGCTGCAGTGGTCTTGGGAGCCATGGGTGGGACTGGCTGAAACTTGACAAAAGAATCGTCACTGCGCTCTGGAAGCTGGGCTCCTCCGCTGAAGCCGAATCCTTCTGCACAGTTAGGGCCAAGGCAACCGCTCCTGCAAGGTTCCATGGGAAACTGCTCAGGTCAGAGCTCTTGGGGCTCCAGAAGTAAGAAACATAGAAGCCAGGCTGCTGGGCTCAGGGGATGGAGCATCAGCAAGAGCCACCAAAGGACTTAAGAAGAAGCAGTGTGGTCTTTTGTGTAGGTTAGGAAGATCCCACCAGTGACCAGGTGAACCAGAGGAAGGGGCTGGCTGCAGGGAAGTTGAGTGAGGCTGCTGCAGTTTGTGGTGGGTGGAGAGGATCGGCCTGAGCTGGGGCATGGCTGTGGGAATCCAGCCCAAGGGCTCCAGAGGCAGAACTTCAGGCTGCTGAGAGCAGGTGGATATGGAAGAGGCCATTGCTCTGGTGAGACAGAGCTGGTGCTGGAATAAAATAGAAGAGGAATAACGAACCTGAAGGGGAACTTGTCAGTCAAACACATGGGGTCAAAAGTCATGAGGCATCTGGGCTGGCTGTTACTTAGGAACAGATATCCTATGAGGAATCACCTGAGGAGGGTTGAGGGAAGACGGGCAAAGTTTGGCTTTAAGAGGGGACAGGGGAACAGCAGCAAAGAGCTTTGAGAAGGAACAGTCGTGAGAGCAGGCCAAGGGAGGGTGAGAAGGAGGGTGACAGAGGACCAGGGCAGAGAGTAGGGAACTAGAAATCAGCTGAAAGTCCTGCAGTCTATCCCTTTCTTCCTTTCTCCCTTCTTTTCTCTTCCTGCCTTCCTGTGCAGGGTACTGAATCCAGGGTCTTGAGCATGCTAAGCACTCAACCACTGGACCACATCCCCAGCTCCTGGAGTTAATTGTTATTGCTGTTTGTGTGAGACAAGGTCTCACCACTGTGTAGCTGAGGTTAGCCTGAAACTGTCCTGCCTCAGCCTTCCCAGTGTTGAGATTGTGTGCATCACTACACCTAGCTTCCTGGGGTTATTTCTTAAAGCAATTCTCATCAAAATTGCATGAACTGTGTTTTCACTAGTGCTGACATCTTTATGGAGATTTTCTTTTCAAAACTTACCAGCAAGTCCACCAAGATACATTGCCCACTTTTTCTCTATGAATGGGAGTGCAGCCCCAAGCTGAGCTGTCACTCAGCCAGCCAGAGGGCAGGTTCCGATACCACCAGCATGCTGTGAATGGTTATGTTGGCTGGCCTGAGATGCAGGGTGAGTGCACTATCTGGATACTGTCTTTAAACTAAATAAAACAGGCTTGGAGAGATGGCTCAGCAGTTCAGAGCATTGGTTACTCTTCCAAAGGACCTGGGTTTAGTTCCCAGCACCCACATGGCAGCTCACAACCATCTGCAACTTCAGCTCTAGGGGATCCATTGCCTCTTCTGGCCTCCAAGGGCACTAGGTATGTATATTGTACATAGACATATATGTAGGCAAAACACCTATACTTATAAAATAAATTTTTAAAAAAAAGCCAGGTGTGGTGATTCACGCCTTAATACCAGTACTCGGGAAGCAGAGACAGGCAGATCTCTGTGAGTTCGAAACTAGCATGGTCTACAAAATGAATTGTAGGACAGCCAGGGATACACAGAGAAATCATGTCTAGATAGATAGATAGATAGATAGATAGATAGATAGATAGATAGATAGATAGCAAATAAAATTAAGCTAAACAAACCATCTAGAGGAAACTGAGTACAGAAGCCCCCTCTGATGCCCACAATATGGAGATGTTCCTCTGTGTCTGTCTCCTTCTTGCCTGTAAGCAGTCACTGTGGTCACTAAGGGATGGCCCTGGCAGGCAGGACTTCCTGAGTGGCTCCATCCCTCTAGTGTCTACTCTCAGTTACCTGACTATCTCTCTGCTCTACCTGCCCTACCCAATACCCAACTCCCTGCTGTCCCCACACCCTATAGAGGACACTGGTACCCTCAGTACATACATGGTCACCAGTATTTCTCATGCCCTTACAGAGAAATGCCCCCCAAGAAATCGCATCTGACTTTCTGACATCCAGGTTCCCTGTTTAAGTTCTCTGCCTCAGCCCTGTCTGCTGTCCAACAGTACTGACCCCATAGTATCTGACCACACCCAACATCTTGGCTCTGATTCCAAGCCTGAAGCATAGGCTCTTGGCTCTGTCTCCACATGTGTCCACCTGGGAGAACCTGATCCTGTCTCCTGCCTGTCTTCTGCAGGCCCTGGTGGTCCCTAGTCCAGCCTCTCACACTGACCCCTCACAGAGGCTAGAGGTTTCCACCATTCAGATGGGTTTTCTTCTCCGTGTCTATAGATTGACTGTCTACTGGTGTCAAACTGTTTCTCTGAGCAAAAGTTTCCACTAAAAATGAAAAGATTCGTGCTCAGAAGTCTGAGTGCCTCGTAATCCCAGAAGGTCTGGGTACAAACAGCAGGCATGGACTTTGTGAAGAGGTGAGGAGTGAGCTTCCTACCTAGCCTGGGGTCTTGGCAGAGCAACATTACCATCAGTACTGAAATGGAAACTAAGAAAGTGGCTTCCAGAGGTAGATCTGGCTGTTGTCCTGGAAACCAAAGACTGTCACTCATTAAGGCTGCATTCTGCAATCAAGCAAGGAGACTGATTCTACAGCAAACCTTACCTTCCTCTGTTGGCCAAGACTGGATGGCCAATGCTGTGGCTATAACTAGAAGCTGTCTGGGGTTATGGATGTAGGTCGGTTGGTAGAGTGCTAGTCTAACAGGCATGAAGGCCTGGGTTCAATCCCTACAATTATATAAACCACCTGTGATGGCTCATGCCTGTAAACCATATCTGAGATGTGAGAGCAGGAAGTTCAAGGTCATCCTCCCATACACAGTCAGTTCAAAGCCAGACTGGGATATATGAAACTCTATCTAAAAATTAAAGATGTCTTGTTAGTTCTATTGCAGGGGAGTAATTTGGGGCCCTGGATGATGGAATAGCTATAATCTCAAACTGTGGGTCCTGTGGCAGAAAGAGAGAACTCTATGGACGTTCTCACGCCTGCTGCTGAGTGTTTTGTCTCCCAGAGGGACTAGGAAACGCAACCTTACTTTGCTTGCTTTCTCCAGGTGATCTAGAGATTAAAAAGTCCCAGCCTAGCTTTGGAGACAAAAGGGAAAAGTCTGCCCAGACTTTCACCCAAGTAAAGCATGCTCATCCCTTTAAGAAGTCACTGTTGTGTAGAAATGTATCTCTGTTCACACTAGCAATCTGGGTACATGTAACTGGTGCAACCAGAGCCAAGAGTCCCTGCATCCTTTTAGGAGTACAAGATTTGGAGCCCAGTACTCAGCAGGGAGGCAAGAGGATTGTGAGTTGGAGGCCAGCCTAGGCTACACAATAAACTCCAGAACATCAAAACCTAGTCTCAAAAAACAAGCAAGCAGGGCTGAGGTGGGAGGTCAGTATGTAAAGTGACTGGTGTGCTAGCATGCGGACCTGAATTTGGACCCCAGAACCCATGTGCCTTAGGGTTACTGTTGCTGTGATGAAACACATGACCAAAAGCAAGTTGGGGAGAAAAGGGTTTAATTGGCTTAAATATCCTGAGTCACAGTCCACTGTGGGAGGCCAAGGCAGGAGCTCAAACCAGGGATGGGGGTTGGGGGTGTATGACATGGGACACCTGGAGGCATGAGCTAATGCACAAGCAATGGAGGAGTGTTGTTCACTGGCTTGCTCCTCATAGCTTGTTCAGCCTGCTTTCTTACAGAATCCAGGACCACCAGTCCAGAGGTGTCATCACCCATGATGGTCTGGGCTCTCCACAATCAACTACTAATTAAGAAAACGGCCCTACAGGCCTGCCAATGGCTGGATCTTATGGAGGCATTTTCTCATTCAGGTTCCCCTTCTCTCAGATGACTCCTGTTTGTGCCAAATTGACATCAAACTAGCCAGTACACCATGTAAAAGCCAGGTGTGGCAACACATATCTGCAACTCCAGTGCTGGGAGACAGAGACAGGTGGATCCTAGGGGCTCACTGGCCAGCAATCATGGCCAAAACTGTGAACTCTAGGTTCAGTAGGAAACTTTATCTCAAAAAGTAAGACTAGAGGAAGAAATCTTGATATCAGCCTCTGGCCTCCATACTCACCTATCCTCATGGGCAAGCCCCCCGCCCCACATACACCACAGTACACACATACATGCACACATACAAACATGTATACGTAAAGTAACAACCAAAAAATGAAGTACAGAATCCAACAGCCAAAAGCAGGTATAGATAGGGTCACTGCCAGCAGTTGACCAGCTGACATAGTTGAAAACCAGAGCCCCTAAAGACCTTAGCGTTGAGAACAGCAAAGGTGGCAGTACTTAAAAGAACAGGAAGAACCACGAACCCCAAAAGCTCCTCTCCGTTTTGATGTGGACAAAAGATTGGTTTGCAGTCTTAAGACAACAGACTCCAGCAGCCCTCAACTCCCTCCCAAGTGGATAGACTAGTACCTGGGCAGGCTCACACATGGGTTGGAGGACTTCCTATGCAGAGGCCCTTGCCTGTTCTGTGCATCCCTTTCTTAAGGGGAGGGAATTATGGCTGGTTCTCTTGGAGCCGAGGGCTTCTATAGTGGTGTATGCAGGAGTACCTGAGTATAGCGGTGGCCAGGGGTCGGAGGTCTTTGAAAGAGCCCAGGATAAAAGGCCTTGACCCTTAGCAGGGAGTGACACCTGACCTCAGTCCAGAAAACCCAGATTCGGCTGCCTAGGCCTGTAGCAAGGTTGGTCATATGCTGTATAACTGATTTAATTCACTCACTGGTTAATCTCTGCATACATTCTCTGGGACACAGTTTATTAAATGTTCTTTGCATAGAAAATTTCAGGCTGGATAGGTAGTGACCCTTCAGAAGACTGTCAGCAAGTCTGTTCTGCTTCAGGAAGGGTTATGGTCTTCATCTGTGCTCTATGGTGCCTGACATGCCTGTAGGCTGCTCAGTCAGCTCACCCATTCCAGGAATAAATTCTGTTCTTGAACTTGAGCTGAACACAGGGTCTGCATAATTCTAGCATTTGTATGGACTTGTTTTTAAAATTCTCCTCCTCCAGAAAGTATGCTGCTGTCTCTTCTTAAGCAAAGCATGTTCTTTGGCTCTTACACCACTGACATCAGCCTCTGTATCAGGGATCAGCAGCTTTGCTGAGAGAGAGGCCTCAACCCCAGGGTCTGAGAGACTCGAGGCTCCTCTTGTCCCCAAGAAGAGATTCCTGGTAGTGGTGGGGCGTCCTAGGGCCAGTGCTGCTTCCTTGGCACCTGACCAGCTAGGCAGCCCCTCTCACACACTGGGTTCCCCAGAACTCACCAGAGGCCATAACATGATCCCCTGGGAGTTCCAAGAGCACCTGCTGTGGCTGTTCTTAGGCTTGGACTCAGACCCAGACTCCAGTGTCCAGCAGGCTCAGAACTCTAGAAGGCACAGGCTCAGGCTTGGCTCTGTGCTCAGGTGTTTACCCCTGGGCATGTCCACTCCAGTTCTGCCCGCTGATGCCCATGTGGTGAAAGGCCTGAGATCAGGTGGTCTCAGAGCCCATCCTCATCACAGAGAAAGCCTTCACTCTAAGTCTCCTCTGCTGGTCTCAGCCTCCACAAGGTCATAGGACTGGTAGAAGAAGCCCTGTGGCTTCTGCTTCAGCCAACTTTATCAGATGGATCTGGTACAGGCAGGTTCTTTTTTTTTTTTTTTGGGTTTTTGAGACAAGATTTCCCTGTTATTTTGGCACCTGTCTCTGCCTCCCGAGTGCTGGGATTAAAGGTGTGTGCCACCACCACCCGGCTATCAGGTAGGTTCTTGAGCATAATATCAGGAACCATGGGAAAGAGGAGGCTCAGGCAACGCTTTAGGACCCAGCTACATCTCAGCTTCCCTAACAGTGTTCTTCGTCATTAACTGCAAAATCTGGAAGGGCAAGCAGCAGGGACTGGAGTGGCCAGACTGGCTGAGCACCCCTGTACCCCTCCTCTGACCTAGCTTGAGATGTGCCTTCCAAGCACACACTAGTTGGCTTCATTTGGGCTTTCTGAATTCTGCCATGGAAATGCCCGGCTGGCTGGTGGAAAGAACACCTCAGAGCTGCTCTCAGCCCATTCCTATTCTCAGAAACCACACCATGAATTAATAGCTCCCACGGAAAGTTTCTTTTTGAAAATTTTATGGACCCTTGGCCTGCACCTGGCTTCTGCAGAAGCCTATGACTCTGGCTTATATGAGCAGCCCATGACAGACAGCTCTGGTGCAGCCATGCCAGGAGGGAAGCCTGCAATCTACCTCCCAGTGTCCTCACCCCATCACCCAGGAGAGCAGGTGCCTTTTTGTAGGGCCAACCAGCCTCATGAGAAAACTTCAAAGGCTTTTGAGTCTCTCCTCCCCTCCCCCTCCCTTCCCCTCTCCTTCCCTTCCTTCCCTTTCCTTTCTTTTTGGTTCTTAGAACTAAACTCAAAGATGCTAAGGAGGCCCTGCAGGCCAGCTCTTGCAGGGTCTTTGAGGCCCGGGGTCACAGCAGTGGTAGTGCTCGTGATAACACAGAGACAAGGCGGGCTCTGAACTAAGTGCTGAAATCTTGCCATCTCCAACTAGCCCAGAAGTTCTCAACCTATGGGTAGCGAACCCTTTGGGGGTCGAATGACCCTTCCACAGGAGTCGTCTAAGACCATCTGAAAACAGAGATTTACATTACAATTCATAACAGTAGCAAAATTACAGTTATGAAGTAGCAACAAAAATAATTTTATGGTTGGGGGTCACCACAGCATGAGGAACTCTGTATTAAAGGGTCACAACATTAGGAAGGTTGAGAACCACTGAACTAACCCAAGGAATTTTCATCCACATCTAATACAAAAGGAAACCAAGGCTTAGAGCATCCCTCAGTCAACTTGTCTAATATTCATCAGGACCTGACTCCACATACCTGCACTCAGAGCTTGTGATTGCAGCTTCTGTCTGCTCAGATTGCTGTCTCCAAGGGATGCCTTGAGGCACACAGACCTCTAGGGCCTTGACTCAGGAGGATGGCTCTACTCTCTGCCAGGGCACAGCTGGGGGCAGCACAGGAGTTAATGCACATCTGAGAAAAACGTAGCTTTAGAAACGTCATGTACCTGGCGGACACAGATAAAACAAAGCCTCTTTAGTGCTAAGTGACAGAAAGACTCAAAGGCGACTGGAGCAAAGAAAAGAGATTTTCTGGCTCACAAACTAGGAAGTCTACAGGCTGTGTGGCTTCAGACAGATCAGAGCTCAAATATATTATGAAGACTTGGCTATTCTCCAGTCTAGCCCTAAGGTCTGTTTCTCCCTGAGCTGGGTTCCTTCTCAAGGAAGGCTCTAGAAGCTGCAGGCTCTCGTTGTGGTCTTCTAGCTCAGAGAAAATGTAGACTTCTTTCCTAAGTGGTCTGATAGGAGTTCCAGGGAACACTTAGAATGGTCCCAGTGGTGTCGGGGGACCATGGTGCTGCTCACTGTGGCTGGCTGTTATATCACCTTGAAGCGGAGCAGGGCAGTGTGTCTGCCACTGCCAGAGAACTGAAGCCAAGCAGGAGGATGTAGGTGGAGCTGGGGTGCTTTGGATTGAGAAATATGAATAGGCATTTGCCTGTGTCTGTGTGTGTATGGGGGGGGTGCGCATCACTGCTACAGACTATGTATCTATGGTAGACCCTAAACCCCAATTCTGTCAGGCATATGGCTCTTTCAACCCCTCCCCCAACTCAGAAAAGCATCTGTCTCTCGTCAGTCTTTCTGTCCTCCTAGCGATGAGCTGACTCCAAGTTTCAGCAGCTCAGAGCACACGTTGCCATGCCAACTCCTCCGCAGCAGCATCTAGGCAGAATGGGCTGGCCTGATCTCACAGCCGCTGGTGAATGCAGACACATTCAGGTAATTGGATTGGAGCAGTCCACAGGCCTTTCCTGTGGAAACCTGGAGCTTGGTCCAACTCCTGTTTAGAATCAAAGACTTGGAGGACATTTTGCTCCAAGACTCCAAGCTTACAGAGGGAAAGAGAGAGCTCAGCAGGCCTGACGATCAGAAAACAGGGCAGTAAAGGAGGGATGAGCCCCAGACAATGCCAAATGGAGCAATCACCAGCCCTCTAAGTTCAGAGAGCTGTCAGAGATGCATGGGCTTCAACATGGGGGTCAGGACTTGCTTTGCTTGGCAAAACTGACAGCTGTCTTACCTTCCCACTGCAGGAGAAATTCAGATTCCAAGTCAACATCCACACAGGTCCCTGGGGCTACTGTGAAGGTGTCTTCTCTGAATCAGCATACCAACCAGGTCATCTCTCAGGTCTGGCAATCCTAGTCATTGGATGCTCAATGGAAACAGTCCTATTTCCCATAGTCTGCCCTGACAGGATCATTCCTAAAGAGTCCCCTCACTTCCCTCACTGGTGAGGGAAGATTGGCCACCCTGGGCCCACATGCACATATCTAGGGTGAAACCTTGGTTTAACTCAGACTTCTGAGCAGCCATGGTCCCCTTCCCATGCTGTGGTCACACAGGTCACTGGTTAGGAGTCAGGCCCTTCAGGTTAGCTTGTATGAATGGCCACATGGAAGCTGCTTGCTATTGATGCCCTGGCTGCCCATGAATGCCTGGGACGATATTCTTAAGGTCCTGCAGAGGAGTTGTCCGCCTTTCCCTCTTCCATGTGGATAAGGGTTTTCTGGGCTCCCAAACATCCCTAGGGCAAGTTCCTCTTCCACCTGCATCAGTCTGTGACCCACAGCGCTCTCTGTCCCCTCTGTTCATGCATAGCCCAGCCCAGTCCTCACTGCAGAGGAGAGGGGCAAGTTAGTGAAGGCTTTGGCTTTGGCCCAAACAGTGTGAGTGGCATCTGTAAGGATCCAGAAGGCCCTCTGGTTCAGCCAGGGTCCTGGAAGTCCCGTGGGTGAGCTCAGGTCAGCCCCTTAACAATCAGAAACCAAAGCTGGGGAGAGACGATGACACATGGAGTGGCTTCCGGAAATGGAGAGGAGGAAGCAAAGGTGACCAGGCCACCAGCCTGGCTCCTCTAGTCCTCATAGAAACACTAGAGGTAGGCACTGCTACCCCATGCCATGATCAGTGCTAGGATGTCACTCGGGCTAGCCTGCCTCCCAGGCTGAGTGCCAGACTGCAAAGCTCAGGTTAGAAGAGAAAGCCTGGTCTCAGTATCTGGGACTGAGAGGTTGGCTCCCAGGAGTCCCGCCTTGGGGCACCTTCTAGCTCCCAGTGACAACTCCACAGCTCACAGTGCTGGAATCCCTGACGACTGAGGACCTGAGAGTATCCAGGACTCCAGATCAGCTATATAGACCATGGTATGGCTGTGGTATGATGTGGCTTCTAGTAATCCTGGAAACTGTACATTAGGATTTGCAAAGGGGACCAACCCAAGGGCGATTGTTGGTCTTAACAAAAGAAACCTTGAATGATCCACTTAATCTAAGAGGTGAGGTAGCCAGGCGGTGATGGGGCACGCCTTTAATCCCAGCACTCAGGAGGCAGAGCCAGGCAGATCTCTGTGAGTTCCAGACCAGCCTGGGCTACAGAGTGAGATCCAGGAAAGGCGCAAAGCTACACAGAGAAATCCTGTCTCGAAAAACAGAGAGAGAGAGAGAGAGAGAGAGAGAGAGAGAGAGAGAGAGAGAGAGAGAGAGAGGAGGTACAGAAGCTCAGCATGCACGGCCTTAGAGGGACCTGCCAACCCTTTAAGGGTGTCCATGACAGGCCCTGCTTGCAAAGCTATCAGATCAAGGACATGGAAAAGAGAAGAAGGAATGATCGGGAGAATGGGGTCCCATGTCCAAAGCCAGACACATGCCTGACCCCATCGAACAGTGCAGACAAGAGAAAGGGAGATAAGCAGGGTGCAGCTGAGCACCTGCCTGCGGTGAGCAAACCCGAGGAAGCCACACCCTTCCATGGCCTCTCCTCGGAGCACTGGAAAACTCTGGGAAGTTACCAGCCCCTCGTGTTTAACTGCAGCGCTCCTCTTTCATGAGGAAAGTGTAGATCAGACTAATTAATGTGTGCTGTTTGTTTACCCTCCTTTCATTTCCCTGAGACAAAATAATTACCCAGAGCTTTAGAAGCAGCCTCGTCCGTGGCAGTCCCTCCTGCGTCTTCCTGCAGCAGCAGCTTCCGCGTGTAGACGAGGGAGCCAGCGCAGGGCAGAGCGCTGGAGAGGAGGCCTGGGGTAGCTGGGAAGGATTTGGAGTGGCACCATGGAGGGCCAAGGGACTCAAAGCTGCCTCATCTTAGAGGGTCGCTGTGGTAGCACAGCTCCCCCTAGCCCCTGGGGCTGCCACCCCAGATCTTCTCCTCCATCAGCCCTACAGTGGAGACCAAAAACATGCCCATGTCTGCCCAGGGCAGGCAGAAAGAAAGGTCACTGCACACTAGAGACTTTGCCAGAAGGGTTTGCCACAAGCGTGGAGGCATCTGAAGATGGATTCTCTCTCCTCGTCCCCTAAAGCCCCGTCCCAGCCAATAGCTGATTCCAATCTGATTAGCCAATGTCCGGGGTTGAGCCACATGGGATGACAGAATGGGTCATTTTTCTCAGGAAGCCTTTGATGAAGGAAAGCCTGACTCACAGGGGTGCTGTAGACACCGCAGTGGCTTTTGGAGGTACAAACCAACCTCCTCCCTGATACTTTCTCCAATGTCATCCATGTAGCCCACATTACTGCCCACAGATCAAACCTGACCCTTCCCACAGAAAGACTGACTTCCTAAGAGCTTCCCCACCTGAGTGGGCACTCAACCCAGCAGTCTGTTTATCCTTACATCTGTTACTTACCTCCCCAAGCAGGGTGGCCAAGAGCCAGGGCTTGGCCTCGGACAGACTCTTCATGGAGCTTATGCTGGAGGGAATCCTAGGAACAGCCCCAGCTCCAGGCCTAGTGATAGCCTGGTGTAGGGAGGGGCTGTGGTCACAGAATGCCTTGACAGGGTTAAGGAAGACTCCCCTGAAGGAGAGAAGTCTCAATTGAGCCCTGAAAGGTACAGAAGGGAGAGGGAATGGCCGGAGTCAAGAAGGGAGAGGTTGCGGGAAACAGCCACAGGCAGGTGCAGAGGGGTCGGGCAGAAGCTGCGGCTGGGAAGGAGGCTGTGGCTGGAGCCAGGATGAGAGGGGAAGGGAGCACAGAGACAAGAACACAGAGGGCCCAGACAGAGATTGTGAGCCTGGACTTTGTCCCCCAAAACAGTAGGGTCAGTAGAGGGAGAGAGGAAGGGAGAGAAGGAATAAAGAAGAGAGAAATGTTAAGTGGATCCTTCGGAGTCCTGCACAATTGTGAGAGAGGCACTCGTGACCTTAGACCACGGCGATAAGAAGGAAAAGAGGAAGGGAGACTTGGAAGTGGGTCTGCCTAAGACTCTCGGTTGACATTCAAGTGGCCCAAGGAATATGGCTGGGGCATCCCCTAGGGTCTTGGTGCTGAATTCAGGGAGCACTGGTGTCTGGGATGCCTCAGAAGACCTCATCGCACTGCCCGTTGCTCCTGCAGGGTCTGCCCTGGCCCCAGTAGATCTGGCAGGGATGGGTTGGTGTGGGCAGCTCCGTATCCTGTATTTCTCCCTCTAGCCAGGAGGGGTTCTGCCGGCTCCTCATTGAGAGCCGTAAATTGGCTGAGCACATCCAGCCAAGGGTGATAAGGAGTGAGCCATGGCTCTGGCTCCAGGCTGGAGTCCTCCCTCTGCTGAGTGGATGGGGTAGTAAACAACACGCACGGTGCTCTGGCATCGCCCAGGCCAGACGGCAGGTGTGGGAGGTTGCCGGACGTCCTCAGACCCGGCTGTGGCATTCGTTGAGAAGTCCTCACTTGGCTGTGCTTGTGTAGACACACTTGAGGCTCCAAACTGTGACCTTCCAGTGTTAGCTTCAAAGTGACTTCCCTTGAGGAAAGTAAAAATCTTCGTGCTTCTTGTTCATCAGAACTAGACACAGCCACCAGCCTAAGCTCCTCTTTGGACATGAATCCCTGGTCCTCCTTCATCAGCCTTGGGGATGGTGTCTGCAGGGCTCTTGAGCCTCTGACAGCTGTGTGGAAAACCCCACCTCCCCGAGGGCTGGAGGAGATGGCTGTCTCCTTTCTGGCACTAGCATCGTAATCCGCCTCTGCTGATTTATCCTATCTCTGAGGCACCCACCTGCCTTTCGCCTTGAGATGCCCTGGGACTCTTGTGCAGACCCTTCTCTCATGAAGCCCCTCATTTTCTGGGGTGGTAGACATATCACCAAGTGTAAGTAACACAAACTGCGAAGGCCAGGCCACCATTCTGGGGGACAAGCACCCCAACAGAAGTTCCTAAGCTACCCAGGCAAGGAGGTAAAGAGTCCTCCCTAGAAGGCCGCCGTCTAAGCTGAGCTGCGGAGAGGGTGAGGGAGCAGGAAGTAGCGCTATGGGAGCTCCTCAGGGTGAGGTCCTGGCACCACTGTCAGAGCGAGCAGGGGGCGAGCACAGTGGGTGGACAGGCTGCAGAGCCTGTGGACTGGTGAGGAAATGTCCCTCCAGCCAAAGCTGATCAACTGTGACTCTGTTCTCCGTCCATACTGAGCTGTTTCATCGGGGGCAGGGAACAGATGGGACAGGAGGACCGAGGGAGGGTAGTATGAATGGTATCTAGGTCTCGGTTTGGGTGACTGTCGTCTCAGGAGGGAGGAGGGAATGTGGGGCCGGGATCAATGATGGCAGCCTGGGTCCAGACCAATGAGGTGTCCCGGACAGAAGGGGTGTAGATCGGTGAGAAAAACAAACATTAAACTTAGCTGCCTGGCCTAGTAATCAAAATACAGATGCTACATCCAGGATTTTCCCCTCAGGACGAGAGCAGTGTGGGTCCCTGGAGGCTGGGTAAACACGAGACTCTTGTCTTTATTGACTGGGTAATCAGGACAGCCAATGCACCTGCCTGGGTGTGGTCACGCCTGCTCTGAAAACTGTGACTCAGTACATTGTGGGGCAGGGACCCAGGATGGAAGGATATAGGTAGCTGTTGGCTTTGCCTGAAGCTGCACCTTGGAGGACAAGCTGGAGAACTAATAAAGCTTTGGCCCGGACCCACACAGCCCCAGGAAGCTTCTCTAAGTGTCCAGGGGACTGTCAGGGCAACTGGGTAAACTATTCATTCTAGAAGCTGGTGAAACGATCTATGTCTGGGTCCCACCTACACACACACACTGGCTAGAGTTCTGCCAGGGCACCGTGGGGTAGAACATAGAGCTTAGTCTGTCGCTCGGGAAGCTGGGCCATGGTTAGAGCAGGGCTGCATGTGAACGAGGCTTCCCTGCTCCTCTGCCCAGCTAGCCACACTGCCCTCTGCCCTGTAACCCTTGGCCCCCTTCTGTCTTTCCTGGCCTGGTTGGCACCAGATAAAAGGTGAGCGTGTTTACAGCTCCTCTAACCTAGGCCTCTGCCTAACCAAATGGTTTCACCTGATTCCAACCACCGTCAGTCCAGGCACACTCTCGAACCCTAACCCACCTCTTTGTACCAACGAAGCTATGCCCTTCTGTAAACATGAGCCAGTTTTTAAGCAATTAAGTTACAGAATCAAGTCAGTCAGTTAGGGACAACCATATACAAAGCTGTTTATTCCAAACAAACAAAACTACATAGGCAAATGGAATGGGCTGGAGCATTCTTCTGGCCCCCAAGCACTCCATGTAAAACTGATTCCCTGGTTTTCACAACAGTCCAATTTAGTAACGACCTCTCTCACTGTTTCTACAGGTTCTCAACGAGCTTTGGTGTCCCAGCATGGCCCCTTGAGGTGAACCATGAATGTCTGCAGAACATTTAGCACTAACTATCCAGAGTCGCAGCTTTCCAGGAGGTGACCCATCCTCCGCCTGTCCCCAGCTTGCCCACCCCTGCCTGGAAAGTGCTGCAGCTGCCACGGACACCATGTAGTAGGGCGGCTGCGGCGCCCAGTGAGCTGCGATGGTTTTGTACACGACCCCCTTTCCTAACAGCTGTCTGTCCGCCCTCCACGCTGTGTCCTGGGCCCTCATCTTCCCATGTTACTGGCTGGTGGACCGGCTGGTGGCCTCTTTCATACCCACCACCTATGAGAAGCGTCAGAGGGCAGATGACCCTTGCTGCCTGCAGCTCTTCTGCACTGTACTCTTCACGCCAGTCTACCTGGCTCTGCTTGTGGCTGCATTGCCTTTTGCCTTTCTTGGGTTCATCTTCTGGTCTCCACTGCAGTCTGCCCGCCGGCCCTACTCCTACTCCCGGTTAGAGGACAAGAGCCCAGCTGGAGGGGCAGCCCTGCTCAGTGAATGGAAGGGCACGGGGGCTGGCAAAAGCTTTTGTTTTGCCACAGCCAACGTCTGCCTCCTTCCTGACTCACTCGCGAGGCTCAACAATGTTTTCAACACCCAAGCGCGGGCCAAAGAGATTGGGCAGAGAATCCGCAATGGGGCCGCCAGGCCTCAGATCAAAATCTACATTGATTCTCCCACCAACACCTCCATCAGTGCAGCCAGCTTCAGCAGCCTGGTGTCTCCGCAGGGCAGTGATGGAGCCAGAGCTGTCCCTGGTAGCATTAAGAGGACGGCCTCTGTGGAATACAAGGGGGATGGTGGGCGTCACCCCAGTGATGAGGCTGCCAATGGCCCGGCCTCTGGGGACCCGGCTGATGGCAGCCTCGAGGACAGCTGCATTGTGCGCATTGGAGGTGACGAAGGAGGGCGTCCACCGGAAGCTGATGACCCTGCTACTGGGAGCCAAATTGGGAATGGGGCTGGTGGGACCCCAAAGGGCCAGACGCCCAACCACAATCAGCGAGATGGGGATTCTGGGAGCCTGGGCAGCCCCTCGGCGTCCAGGGAGTCCCTGGTGAAGGCGCGGGCTGGGCAAGATGGCGGTGGCAGCGGAGAGCCGGGAGTCAACAGCAAGCTCTTGTATAAGACATCAGTGGTGAAGAAGGCAGCAGCCCGCAGGCGGCGACACCCTGATGAAGCCTTTGACCACGAGGTCTCGGCCTTCTTCCCGGCCAACCTGGACTTCCTGTGCCTGCAGGAGGTGTTTGACAAGCGTGCGGCTGCTAAGTTGAAAGAGCAGCTACACGGCTACTTTGAGTACATCCTGTATGACGTCGGGGTCTATGGCTGCCATGGTTGCTGCAATTTCAAGTGTCTCAACAGTGGTCTCTTCTTTGCCAGCCGTTACCCTGTCATGGACGTGGCCTACCACTGTTACCCTAACGGGTGCAGCTTCGACGCCCTGGCCTCTAAGGGAGCTCTGTTTCTCAAGGTAGGCATCCTCAGCCGAGGGCTACAAACCAAGTGTCCCCAAACCACATGACAAAATGGGCCATAACCCCTACCAACCCATATTCCCTGGGAATCCTCACTCCCTTGATGGGGTGAATTGGGAGCCAAAGCTTTCCATGGAACTGAACTCAGGACCCCCAGCTCAAGCACAGGAAACCCATGGACTCATGCTGAGTGATGAGGCCAGTTTCTCAGATCCGAGTCACATTTACTCATCTGTAAAGTGGGGTGAGGGTGACCCAGTATGTTGCGATCCAGATGGGATTCAGAGCCTCTTGCATGCAGTAGCATGCGGTGACCATGGTGGTACTGATCGCTGTGATTAGGGACGGAAGGAGACAAGCCCCATCTCCATTCACACGTGGCAGAGACCAGAGTAGAACCCGAGTGCAGGCCAGAATATGGGCTCTCAGGTCCCCAGGCCAAAGACCACACTTAGCCACTGAGGCCTCTAGCTTCGCTGGCCAGGACAGGCCCCCTTCCTGTTGCCAGCAGCTGCCATGCCGGGCTCTCTGCCCACCAGCCCTTGGCTTCATTTCCATAGTCACTAATTAAAGTGGATCATGATTATTTCTGCTAATTTGGATGCAGTGGAGGAGGTTTTAGACCATGGTAATTTGGCCATTACACATGATCTTCGATGGAGCCTGAGATACTGTGTCAACTTTTTGTTCTCTATCTAAAAGCCACTGCTAGTGAATCCAGTTTTCTGAAGCATCGTTTGGCCATCTGACGCTGACGGGGCTTTCTGTCCCCAGGGGCAGCAGCTGTTTTGCCTGTGGTTCTCCCCTTACAAGTGAGATTTGACTCAAGGGCTGCTTTAGTGGAGGACCCTGACTATGGCTCAGGGCAGGTTTCTCTCATTTCTCCGTTCCAGTCTTAACTGAGCCCGACCTGTGCAGGAAAATACTGAGCCGGTGCCTACTGGAGGTAAGGGCACAACGACTCCATCTGAGCTGGTTAAGGACAAGGAAGGCACTCATAGGCCCCACCCTGGGGTGCTCAAGGCCCCTTGCATGGCTCTGCCAGAGTTAGGGTCCCCAGCTTTCCAGTCTTCTGAAACACAGTTCCAGCCTTCCCATTCTGACATGTTGCTCATTTGTGTTGCATTCGTGGGTATATTTCTGTCTTGGTAGCCAGAGTGGCCTTCTGGGAAGGAAGGAGATATGTCATCAGTGGAAAGGTGTATCCTCTCACCCTTGGCCTGATACAGACGGCTGTAAGCCTAGAGATGTCTACCCCCCGGACCACTGCTGTGCAAAGAACCCACATGACCCCTCCTGACCTTTCTCCTTCATCTGATCCCCTGAAACAGTTTTAAGGGCGGCAACTGCCTCTCCTCTGTGGCTCTATCATTAATGTTCTCTTTGTCTCCCTTTATATCGAGGCAAATATGTTGATTCATGCCATTCCAAAACTTTTCTTGAGCTGGCCAGTATTTTTCATATCAAACTTCATTTGCAACATCTCTTAAACATCTTGATAGGTCTGACAGTACCAGCTTGTCTCCGTTTTTTGTTTTGTTTTGTTTTGTTTTTCCAGTTTCTCTTCATAGCCCTAGCTATTCTGGAACTCATGATATAGACCAGGCTGACCTCAAACTCAGAGATCTGCCTGCCTCTGCCTCCCGAGTACTGGGATTAAAGGTGTGTGTCACCTGGCAATCTCATTTTCTTATACCTGAAGGTTGAGATAAGCCATGTGGCCAGCTCTCTCTGCTTCTCAGGGTCCCCTACTGTCAACTCTGTCCCCCAGGGCCTAGTACCCTACAGCCTCCATTTCTGCCCTTGTTGGTAACCCTCATCCTTGTTCCAGCCCAGATCTCTCCCCAGAGCTTATCCCTGAATCTGGCTGACTCCTACCTGGGTACATCTGATTTACTTCTGAGCAAGCTCAGCATCTGCCCTGCCAGCCTCACTCAGGTTCTCCCATCCTGAAGCCAGAAGAAATCAGCCACCTTGGTTGTGCCTGCTCAGTTTATCCCAGGTTTTTCACTTCCAAAAATGCCCTTGGTTCCAACTTCACCAACTTGGTGAACCTCCTCTCTATTTGCCCACGGTAGATGCGGCTGTCTGACCTCTTCCAGCGAGGCCACCGCCTCCTTACTAGGTCTGATTCCCCTTACTGCCCTTACTAGACCGCCCTGAGGGTCCTCCTTATCCCAGGCTCTGCCAGTCTCAGGTTTGCTAAGCACCAGCCAGTTCTCCCTTTGTGGGCTCCGTGACTCTGTGCTCAGGTATTTTTTGGACTGCTTGTCCGGTCAGATGCTGCCTTTGAGAGCAGAGCTGTGCCCTGCTGGATTAGGGTATGACGGTCCTCCTGCCACAGAGGAGGGCCAGGTCCATCTGGAGAGCAGCTGTGGACATTGGGAATATGAGGCCAGCAGTCCCACTCTTTGCCACCTCCCTCACTGGGTCCTGCTCTTCTAGTTTATTCCATGGATTCCTGAAGAAATGGGCCTCTCCATGAAGGAAGGGGCTAGATTCCCTTTGGCCTCAGCACAGTAGAGCTAAAAAAACCTTTTTTACTGATACTCTGTGCCAGCAGGACTAAAGGACTCAGCCTCTCAGTATGATTGTTTGTTTTTATAAGAGAAACACACACACGACTCTGCAGGTCCTGAGGACACACGGTAGGAATCACTAAGTCCCAGCAAGTAATAAAGTGGATACTGTCAAGATCACACACGTGTTGAGAGGGAGGCAACTGTGGACTTGCTACTGTGGTGTCCTCCTCTTCTTGGCAGCAGGGCCAGCAGGGATGCCTTTGTCTTTGTCTAGAACTCAGCACAGGGCAAGTGATAGTAAGGAGAGTCTGACAAATGAGTGGCTTGTTAACATCTTGACAAAGACACCAACAGCCTAGAAAGGGACAAAAAACACCATGGGGAGGCCAACAGGACTGACAGGTACCCATCTATAAAATGGTACACACTGAGCATGTAAGGACATACTAAGCTGAAGTATCTGTGGCTGAAGATGACAGTGGGAGAAACCTGCTGCCTGAGGAACACAGGGTCAGCCATGTCATGTGCCCCTCTGAGCACTGCATTCTTTGAAAATGTGCTTTTATAACAAGATGCATTAGTGGTCCATGGTTTTGCAGGGCTAATTCCCAGAACAGGAGTGCTAGATGGCTGCACCTTGGGTCTGAACTTAATGTGTGAGTCTAGAAACAGCCCAGTCCGGGCCATGGAGCCTATTATCAAATAGCAGACATTCACCCATAGGCACTGAGGAGGACAGGAGGCATGCTGAGGGGAGGAGGATGGAGTTGCAAACATCCAGGGGACAGGACTGACAAGACCCCTCCATTTCAGCAGCCAAGAGAAAGAACACTGACTGAGAGGTAACTGTTGTGTCCTTTGCCACAAGATGGAACAAGAAGCTTGGCTTCTGTGGCCCACCTCTCTGGGAAGTGCCTGGTCTGGGGTTCAGCTGGATTGGACTAATGATTATCTGGGGAGGGCAGTTGGTGCTCACATAGGAAGATGTGCTATTGACAGAGACCTCTGAGGACAGGGGCCCATAATCATCCCTGAAGACTTTTCCGAGTGGCCTCCAGCAGTTGGATAGTGATAAGGGGGCCTGGAAGAGGTCTTGGGTGGGGGAGGGGAGGGGATGTGTGGTCTGCCTCACCTCCAGAGAGCCACAGCACAAACAAGGGCTCATTCTTGTGCTGAGTTACTTCCTTGATAAGTTAAGATAAATTAAGGTGCCCATTTTTATAAAGCCAGCATTAGAGGTGACCTGCCTGAGTCAACTGCCTGTTGAGCCAGGCCCACCCAGGGTAACTCTGCCCTAGTAAAGAAGGGTCAGGTCTGGGGAAAGTGGAGGCATGAAGGTGTGGCCAGGGGCCCAGAACCAGGGACACAGGCCAGAACTCTGGTCTAAGACTGAGGGACTGCAGGAGACCTTGTCCTATAAAAACTCATGAAGCACTGGGCGGTAGGGGCACACATCTTTAATCCCTGCACTTGGGAGGCAAGGCAGGTGAATCTCTGAGTTCAAGGCCAGCCTGGTCTACAGAGAAGTTCCAGGACAGCCAAGGGCTACACAGAGAAAACCTATCTTGAAAAACAAACCAACAAAAACTCATGAAGCAATGGGCCATGCAGCCAGATGGGGCAAAGACAGACTAGCAGAAGGCTGGCAGTGTCCAAGGTCCCTCCAGTGAGTTCTAGTTGTGATTTCAAATTGGGTCAATAGGAGGTCAGGTGGAGAGCATGGCCAAAGGAGAAAGGAAGAGTCACTAAATGAGAATGGACAAGACTAAAAGGGGGATAAAGAATATGGCTCCATGGTTAAGAGCATCTACTGCTTTATCATGAGGACCAGAGTCAGGGATCCCAGCATCCTCATTAAACAGCTCCAATTCTGGCTTCTGTGGATATTCTCTCTCTCTCTCTCTCTCTCTCTCTCTCTCTCTCTCTCTCTCTCTCTCTCTCTCTCTC